AATATTATGGCATCAACTGGCTGAATTGTAGATCCTCCTGTAGCAAAATTAGCTCCATGTCTAAAATTTGTACCAATGGAATCCAGATACGCACTCAAGTATGGCAGCTCCAATTTCTCAGCTGCAAATAATCCAAGATTGATCTTGAAAAACAGAATACAGCACGATTAATGCTTAAAGGATGAAGATTTAACAAAGCAAACTAACCAATGAAATCAATGATGAGCTTCCCATCATAGTATCTCCCAGATGGCTTGTGGAAGAAAGTTTCGCCATTGGGGTAAGGAATACGGTGAAATGCAGCTGACTTGCCACCGGTGTCAGAATTTGAGTCACCGAAGTTGAATATGGCCGGAAAATCACAACCGTCTGAATGACCAAAAGTCTTCTGTTTTCTTGTAAACAATAAAACAGAGAATGCAAAAACAAAAAGAGCTACCGGTGTCAGCATTCTTATACTCCTGCTCAGTGCCCAGTAACTCTTCCACCTCATACTGATAATGGGTCTTGCCCAGTCCATAGCAGTTCTCTCAGGCATTTTCACAAACAGTTGGTGCTACATAAAACTTAACTAAATTCTCCACTCGTACTAACAAACAGCTTAGATTCAGACTTAGAGATGGCACCTGCAGGCATTTTGGATGACAAGTACGTAAAAATGAAAAAACAAAAATGGATTCATTGATGAAGGTTAGACCTTAGATCTAGTGCAAAGGGTAAACTAAAGCAATCCAACAAAGAAACAAGGGTTATCAAATTATAAAATAGTGTAGCTCTGTTTGTTTGTTTCATTTAATCAGAATAAATAACTAATATGTGTTTGGTATCATGTCATAATCTTACCAGCCCGCCGCTCTTGCTGTTCTTGGCTTACACTTTTTCCCTTGGGCATGGTTATTGCCATACAATTTTTTTTTTTTCTTTTTTGTGTGTTAAGCCTCACAAAATACTTGTTTTACTGTTATGCACAACTGATGTAAATAGAATACATATTGCAATCAGTTAGTTATAGATTAATGTTATCAAATATTTGTTTAAAAATAAAATTATAAATTGATAAAGTAAGACAAACCAAACACGTTTATTATATTATTTACGGTGGTAATAATCAAACACTTCTTTTAGTGATTGAACTTTTTTTTACATGATCAAGTTCCTCTTTTTTCTTAAATTTTCACTAGAGCTTTTGGCCTGGCTAGTTCCATGAATACCTGCAAATTGCTTTGTCCATAAGTATTGGGCAATTCTCCATTCAAGAGAACATGATGTAGTCTGTTGAATTATTTGCATTTAAAAATAAAAACCTAAGTTTTCAACATAATTCACATTGCTCTTTACTATTTAAACCAATTACAATATATATATATATATATATTTGTCTATTTTGTAATTGAAAATAGTATTTATCCGTCTTATCTCTTAAAAATTAAAAAAATATTATTCTAAAATTACGTATAAATACCTATTAAAAAAATAAAATATTTTATTTTTAAAATATGAATAAGGTATTTTTGTTTTTTTCCCTCTTAATTTTTTGAAGGGAAAACAGATATACACTGATCCCTTTGTGATTATATCAACTTTCAATAAAATAACATGCAGTTTTAAAAACCAACTTTCAATAAAATAACATGCAGTTTTAAAAACAACTCAGATGTGTTTATTCAAGCGGTGCTACGGTATACGGGAATGCTAGGATTTCTTTTCCCTTCACCTCTTCTAGGGTGGTAAACACAATCTTCCAATGAGCTTCTACCATAAATAGATAAAACAACAGGGAAATGATTTTTTCAAGGAGCTAAAAATATAGTAAAATACAACACTGTATAGATTATATTGGGTAGCTGGAAGGAAGCTAGTGACATGCACCCGTGATGGGAACTGGGGGATCCGAGAGGGAGCCATCCAAAATTCTCTTGGCTATCCACTGATTTGCAGCTTCAGTATAATGAGCTCCATCCCAGCTAATGTATTTGGAAGGATCACTACAAGAAGCTCCAAAAATTTCACTCCCATTAACCACAGCTGTCCTTCCACAAGCAACCTTATAGTCACTCAAGTCCCCGCAACAGTATTCAAAAGGACCAACAAAACCTGCAATACTCAGATGAGTATGGATGTTAATTAGATCTCACAAGAAATTTGAATCAGTTGAACAAGTAATAAACTACTACATCAGCAAGAACATTATGAAGGGATGAAATAATGAATATAGAAGATGCCCCAAACCAAGAACATGTCATAAACTGATAGCATTAAAAATGAATTAGCAAGATAGAATCAGTGTCTTATAGAACTTTATTGGCCGATGAAAATGTAAAACTTACCATATTTTTTTGCATTGCTGATTAGAGAATATTTAGCAGAGTAGATATCAACATAAACAAGACTCGCATCTGGAAGTTTTGTCCTAAGTTGGGAAACCTTCTCTTTTAGCTGCTTGTTGAATTCCTCAGCTACC